CGTTATGAAAGTGTTTTCAGTTGAAACTTTGTTTTTAATGTTTAAAATAACAAGTCATTTGATGTGAGTGGTAGCAGGGTAAAGTTTGCTCGACCCAGCCGAAAGTCCTTCTGGGCCTTACTCACTTCCTAAGCGCTTGCAACCCTAAGGAAAAAATGCCTAGATTGCTTTCGCAAACACAGTCATTGTATGGGAGATGTTCGTTACAGTATTAAGCCTAAAGGAAAACGACGTAAAATTTCGCCTTTATTTCCTGCATCAATGTACGCATGTGTTGGTACGCCAAGAGGGCCACGGGGTAGATGTGCTGGACCAATACGGGGACCATACTGGATTCTGGCTGGCGTTATCGGGTATGCGCACCCATAACAAGTGCCAACATTCGGGATGCGGTGGCAACCGTAGTTGCTGGCTTATGGCGCAACGATTGGGATCCCTGCTGCCATCTCACTTTCTGTTGTTGGTTAAAATCCCGGCCGTGTGTTTGTTGCGGACCAGGGGATGTGGTGGTTCGCCTGGATGCGGGTCCTGCCGCGCCAGCCAACAGAGCCCTCCCCGCTTTCAGTCTTCTTGACTATGTCGTGACACAAGGCTGGGGTAGGTGAAGGAGGAGGGGGTGCATCAGATGCTGCGCAAGTCTACTCCCACAATAAACTAATTCACGCACAATTCGCCGTGCCTGCTGTCGTCTTGCTGTGGAACACACGGTGGATGTCGCCGATCAAGACGGTCGAATTGCTGTGTGTTGCCGGTTCAGAATTTCGGACATTCAAGACGACACGCGTTTCTCTGGCACTACAAGGTCCACGTGAGGTCATACCGTATGCGACCGTAAATTTTGTAATTTGAGGGATCCGAACTACAGCCTGACCGACATCAAAAACAAGGGACTGGAGAAACAAATGTATTTTACATAAAAGACTCAAAATTCATATTAGAAAGTAACTATTCAGTATGAGGGTGATTGTTAGCAATGACTTCCCTGATTGTCAGTCTGAACTTAGCGCAAGTGTTCCTGATGTACTTCGATGGCATCTTGTTCCACCCTTTAGCAATGGAGACATTCAGGGCCTCAATGCTGTTGTGAGGCTTGTTTCAGGCCTTCCCCCCGACACACGCCTGAATGCTGTAGTCGAGGGAATTTAAATCTAGTGAGGATGGTGGCCACATACCCTTGGGCCAGAAATAAGGCATGCGGTCTTCCCACCACTTATGTGTCTTCCGTGACGTATATAGAGACGCACCACCTTGCTGGAGGGCCGTATTGTCGTCTGGAGTATAGGTGGAATATACCCAAGGCTTGACATGCTTCTGAAGAACATCCAGGTACACGTTTGTGTTCACTTTGACCCCGGCCTTGATGAACACGAGGGGCATGACTTTGATATCTGAGGAAATCAGACCAAAGACCATCACAAACGCAGGATGCTTGATTTGAAATTTGTACTTAACGTTCTCAGATACCTCGCTGACCTTGGGGGGGGGGCTTCTGTAGCGATCTGTTTGACTGTTGGACACCGAGTCGACCGTGAAGAGCTTTTCGTCGGAGTAGAACACCGTGTATGGTCCTTTCTTGAGGAGGCTTAAGATTCTCTTACTTCTTTCCAGTCTCTTCTCTTTCACAGCCTCAGTAAAGAGATGCTTCTTGGACCTAGCTCTTGACCTAGCTTTCAGATCCGTTGTCACAACATTCCTGACGGTGTGCTAAGGCACCTCAAGCTCCAAAGCCATATTCCTCTTGTTCCGGGCTGGACTGCAACGAATAGGATCTCGGACAGCCCTTATAAGACGATGGGTTCGGACGTTTTTGTTTTTCCACCACCAGGCTTCTTATCGATGCCACCAAACTTCTTATACCGGTCGATGGTGATGTAGACTGTTGACCTGGACATTTCTAACTTGACAACGGTGTCCGTGGGCGAGAGACTATTAAGACTCAGCTTAGTAACTGCCTCATTATATTTTTTTTCAGGGCAAAATATTTGAAAACTTTTTCCGAGAAATTGTTATTGTATTTTTACCACGGTATTTCAACACAAATATTTTCAAAAAGTAACGACAAAACTTTTACGAAATTTAAGGCCCTTTACGCTAGAAGGGGGAAGGGCGGGGACACGTTTAGACGTCGCGTCAGCCACTGCGTCCAATATCAGCACCAGCGAATTTACAGGTTCGGACTGTCAACCAGTGCAGGGCAGTGGAAGTGAGAGTGAGGCTGATACTGAGCAATCCACTCCCACGGCGCATCAGCACAGTTCTCA